GTATGCCGGATAAGACTGAGTTACACCCACTGATTTCAAACGTTTTTTGTAAAATGAGGAACGGATAGTAACAGGAGGAGGGGACAAAAGTGTGCAAAGAATGCTGTACCCATGCACTGACGCCTATCCATGCTTTGTAACGCATGTAGACAATTGCGCGCATTTCGCGACTCTCTACGGATTACAAGTTTGTCTCAGTGATCCATACCAAAAAAACACCACAAACTTTCTGTCATTTAGCATGCATACGTTGCGGGGTATGTGCTTTGAGATCATTACGCTAAACTCTCACGTGATTCCGGCGCATTTGTCATCAGGCGAAGCAACGCGGAAAAAATCACCCCATCCAGAAGTGGTGTTAACAGTACATTTCAATTAATGACGCAAATGACTTCTGTTATTTCAAAGGTATTCTGTTTTACAGGAGAATTCAATGACTTCATGTAAGCGTCAGAAGTTGCTAAGCCGCACCTATTACTTCATCGCGGGGCCACTAGCAGACCTAACGCAGTATGTTGGTAAGGCATTAGGCAATACCTACTCTTGTGAAAATCTACTTATCCATTTTCATTCCCTGTATTTCAAAAACGCAGTTTGCCATACCTGTTTTGCGAGCATGCCAGCATAAATTCCACCTTTGTCAAGCAGTTCACTGTGAGTGCCCATTTCCTTAACTACTCCTCGATCCACCACAACGATACGATCGGCATTGCGGACTGTGGTGAGACGATGAGCGATCATGATGACGGTGCGACCCTTGCAGGCTTTATCAAAGGCTGCTTGGACAACCTTCTCCGACTTGTTGTCCAACGCCGAAGTCGCCTCGTCCAATAGAAGAACCGTCGGCTTGCGAATCAGAGCTCTAGCGATGGCCAGACGTTGCTTCTGTCCGCCGGACAGCTTGCCCCCACCCTCTGTCAGAAATGTATCATATGCCTGAGTAGGAAACACCCACGCATAAAAAAGCGATTAGATCCGTGAAAATAAAAGGACACTAGCTTAAATGGATAACACTTTTCTTGATTTCGCTCAAAAGGTTTGAAGCCAATGCAGTACGTAAAATATTTTCTTCAAAACACTTTAATTTGAAATAAGTAGGTTTAGTTGGACTATTTTTCGACCCTCAATCATGTTAGCTGTCAATGTGTCTTATTTTAAAACTATCCTAACAG